CAGCTTCATCTCCCCTAAACCATTCAGAGCCATAAAAAAAAGGCAGATATAGGGCAAAAGGGCCTGGCTGCACTGTTCTGGAGCAGCAATTGTGGGGAAGAAGGCTCTCATGCCAGAGGTGACATGAAGAAGTGTCTGGCAGAAGACAGGGAGTGCTGTTAGTTTCCTCCTTAGGGCATTCATCTTGAGCCAGGCTGCGTGAGCTACAGCCTTGTCAGATCCTGTCACTGGGGTGAGGGTGGGTTGGCGCAGGCACTGGAGGGGGCCCCCATGTGAAGAGAGGCCGTGTCTCCCTGGGCCATCCTGAGCTGCTGCATTGCTGCCTCCAAAACCACCTCGGACAGCTCTGGTTTCACTTCTTGCCTCACTTTTTTTTTTTAACTTAATAATCACAAATGTTTTGCAATTTCTTATTTCCCATTTTGCTTTAAGGAGAATGTGCGAGCTATTTAAATGTGATCATTAAGACTGAAACTTCTGCAAGTCTGGGTTTCCTGGTTATCCTCCAGTTACCCTGAGTTCCGCGGTTCTGTCTCCTCATTTCCATTCGAGGTTGCACACAGTTCAGCAGTGCTGTAGAGCTGAGTCCCAGGAAAGACACCTACGGAGGCCCTGCCTGCCATGCACTGCTTGGCACAGTGTCCGGGCGACTCTTGGGTCCTGTCATTGTACATGCAATAATTATCATAGCAACTGAACCAGGGGCAGGGCCTCTCGCAGATGCAGTGATCAGCGTATTTGATGAGAAGATAGAAATTTGGGTTAGGACCAGGGCTGTCTCTTAGTCCTGTTTATTCCTGCTACCTGCATCCTGAGCCAATGATTAAGGTTTGGCTGAATCACACTTTCTGGGAAGGCTTCTTATTTCTGGAGAATCCCCCGCTTTTTGCAGTTTCTTCAAGTGGTTACACAACCTTGGTTTAAAATAAATCCTGCTTCATTTCTAAAGTGTCTGGCATCTCCATCCGGTTTTGGGTCCTACTTTTCTTCTGCTTCATGAGAGTTGTTCCATCCCAAATAACTTCTCTGTCTGCAAGAAATTATTCTCTGGCACCAGGTCTCCTCTGGGTTGCTGACAACAGTGAGGCAGCAGGTAGCAGAGCTGTGGTGTTGGTACTGCTGGCAGCGGTGTCCTCGCAGCAGGGTTTAGTTAGTTGAGTATGCAAGGACTGAGGTGAGGTTTGTAGCCTGTGCTGGGCCACATACTGCTCTGGTCCCCCTGCTATCAGTGTCTGGGCCAGATAGCACAGCCTGAGCTCTGGCAAATCTACATAATGGCATTAACATTTTCACAAGAACTTTTGCATTACAAGGGATCTTTCTGAATAGCAAAAATTAGGCGGTTTTTATTTTCTCCACAAGGCTTCTTTCTCACACCTCAAAGCATAAGTAAGCAGTAAACTTCCTTACTCCTGTTTATACATCCCAGACATGCATCAGCTTTTGTTGCAACCAAATGTCCTGGCAGTTTCTGTTTAGCAACTTGCAGTCCTCTTTGGCTCTGTGACTTTCCAGAAGACATTCCTCCGTTTGAAGTGTTCCTTGCAGTCTTCCTCCCCTGAAGTTGACCTTTCAGTTTGGCTGTATTTTAATCCCATTTTGTTCAAACAAGCAGGCTGTGGAATCCACAGTGCTCTGATGGTCTCATCCTTGTGGGTGCTTACTGATCTACCAGATGCTGGCATCTGCTAGTACTGTCAGTACTACTTTTGATTTTAGGTTCTTTGTGAGAATACAGAATAGTACTGTCCTTTTCTCTGCGGAGTTTTGTAAGAAAGTCCCTCAACTAGTCATGATTTTCCTCATTCATTGAGATCCCTTTGCTGCTGTTTGCTCCTCAAGGGCTGACTTTTATCAGAATACTGTGTACTGTGTGATCAATGCCATGAAAATCTCTTACTGTCCTATTTATCTCTTACGCTTGGATGCAAAAAACAAAGAAGTCTTTTTGACTAGACTTCTTTCCACATGTTGACTGGCACTGGACAATGATTAAAGCTAGAGTATCTTTAAGGTGGAAAAGCTGAGGGCTACATTTTCCCTGGGGTTGTCTAAGCAACCTATGGTTACTTGGAATAATACTGCTATTGCCCTCATTTAGGCCGTGACCCTTTTAATGTCTTGGAATTTCCTCAGCATTTCCAGGCTTATCAAAAATAAATATCAGCTGATGAGAAACTTTACTGGACAGATCTCTGGGAACTCTTGGACCTGTTGATTTTTAAAATGTTTTATGTCCTTTCCATTTACTCATATGTGGGAAAGCACTTCAGCATCTCAGTGTGATGCAAGAGGGATGCTTTCCAGGAGTGTTTATTAAAAACTTATTCATGTCTCCGTTGTTATTCACAATGCTGCCATCCCTCCCTAGCAGTTGGATGCTGCTACTAGCACACGTCTTTTTCCCCAGTGGTTTTAGAAGACAAAATAGTGAAACATCAGCTCTATTGTCTTTACTGTTCCCTAACTTCTTACTTGGTCTGTTTCCCCCTTTTTCTCCACTTTCACTCTTCTTTCAGATTGGCTGACAGTTCATCCCAGCTCAGAGGCATTCCAGTTGCTTTCTGTGTGGTGTTTGATGGAAGAACACTGAGGATGATAAAACACCAAGGAAATGTCTCAACGTGAAGACTTTAAAAACCCTGAGAATACTTTATTGGTGAAATGACAAATAGGGAGAGACATGGCAAAAGAGCAGAAAATAATGGATGAGACAGAAAAGGTGGATTGGATTCCTCTGTTCCTCCACCTCTGACTGTGAGAAAAAGGGATTTTGTGCTTTATAGCGATGAGACTGATTGATTAAAAAGTGCACATTTCCATATAACATGTGAATAGATGGTAAAACTCCACATGGCAGGGAATTGTCAAAGTCAAGGATGTGGCAAGATGCAAAAAGGTATTGGATGTAATCCCAAATAGTGTGTAATAAACATCGCAGAAGAAATACCGTTTCAGGGCTGTCATATGAGATTTTGACAAAACACATTGTATAGTGGCTGCTCAGAGGCAGGATGCTGGAGCTGGCATCTCTGTGATAGAGTGCTGTATCCTTGTGGCTTCCTGAGACCCTGAGCTCTCCTCTGTGGACCTTGAATGCCACTCAGCCAACCATCAGCCCAGCCTCAGCCTTGAAGCCATGGGACAAATTTGAGAGAGCAAAGGGAGCTGCAAGGAAGCTGCCTCACTATGTATTTGTTGGCAAGAGGGAGAGGAGACCCAAAGCGATATTTGAGGTGAGGGCACAGCAGGGATAGTCATTTGGTCTGTTCGGAGCCACTAACTGGTCAGTGAAAGCTTTTCTTGGGCCAGGTTGGGCTTTTACACATGCAGTGTTGCTTCCTTCCTTCCAGGGCTACAGAGAAGATGTGGAAAAGCCAGGACTGCTGTGATGTGTCAGGCATGTTCAGAGACAGGGAATACACATCTGTACATACCAACATGAGTAATATGCTCTAGGGAGTGACTTGTTTTAATTCAGGTTTTAGGTGGGGAATTGATCGTAGAGGAGGCATGGAAGTGGTGCATACATTTTTGAGGCTGGTGAGGTGTTCCCAGGTGGTTGCAAACTGTAGGACTGTTGCTTCAGCTGAGGAGGGCGGTGACTCCAGTGCCCATGGTGGAATTGCAGGGGGCAGTTTATCTTAAGCTGAGACTTGGAAAGAGTTTGCAGTGAAGCCTGGAAGGATGCACACCTGCCTCCTTTCTGCAAACCTTGTGCTTATGGCAAAGGGCAGCCTTGAAACATGGGAAAACAGTTGAGGGGTCACTCCCTCCACTCTCATAGTGAGGAGCTGGTGTCATTGCTGTAGTGGATAGTTGCTCCTTGGAGAAGAGCAAGAATTACCTTCAAGGACCAGGCATTTCCTGGGGGATATCTGAAGTTGGGAGATGTGCAGCAGCCAAACTGGGGGAGGAGAGAGGAACAGAACAGATGGGAGGGGGAGGCAAAAGAGGGGTGGGAAGCAGTGCACATACATCAGTGACCAGAAGTGACAAACTGCTCTTAGATTAGACAATTTAAAATGCACAAACCTTTTCCTGGTACTGCTATTCTGCAGAGCTGCTGGCAGACTGAGGGCTTTGCTTCTTAATTAGTGAGGAATGGGACTGCTAATTGGCAGAACTAGTCTGAGTCATGGGGCTGAGCCTGGGCTGCAGCTCTGGAGCAGCAGGACCCACAGTTGTAGCTCTGTGCTCAGCTCCATGAGCTGTGCTGCCTAGGCTCAGTGGCTACTGTGTGGGAAGCTCAGCTCCTCCTGGGTGAAATACAGTCCCTTCTTGCTCTACAGCATGTCATCCTTGTGCCTTGCAAGAAGTAGACTTCTGTTTCTGTTATCCTGATTGCTGTTGCAGGTATTGTCCCTCTTCCCAGCAGCTCTGTGTTGTCTGCTGCCAGCTCAGCTGTTCTTGCTTCTGCCTCTCTCCTTACCTGTGGCCTCCCGGGCTGCCCCCTCCCTTCCAGCAGCTGGTCCAGGTCTTGCTGATCAGATATAACCCAGGGACTGGCTGTATGACTTCATTTCAGACTGACATCAGAAAAACAGCAAGGTTGCTTTCTTTCCCATAAGGGTCTAGGGTGTCAGGGACTCCCGCTCCCCACCAATCTTGTATCCATTAGCTAAGTCTCTCTATATCTGTCCTATCACTTATTCATGATCATCTAGATCAATCTGTTGAAAAGTGCATTTATTGAAACCTGATCCTGGCTTTGTCTGGATTGCACAAGGGCCTTTAGCCCAATCTCTGTGGCGTGGTTTACAACCACAAAGCCCGTTGAGGCTGGGAAGAGAGCTGGCGTAGCACAATGCTGCTTCCAAGCCTAGGAGCATATGGATCCTTCACCAGGAAAAACACAAGGCTTGGATGCCTAATCCCACTGAACAGTCTTAGTGTGCTAGGAGGGCAAAGGTATGTATATACACAATACTTACAGCTGAGAAACTTAAAGCACTGACAGCAATTTTTGGTTTGGACTTACAGTCCCTGCCCCTTGCCGAATGGCTGAGACAGTGATCAGGGTTGGTTACCCAAACCAGGGTACTGCAAGAGTCTCTTGTAGTATTGTGTTTGCAGGTTGATCTAGAGCCTGATAACTATGTTAATTCACAAGGAAAGCATGCCAAAAACATCCCATAATGGGAACAAAGTGGAGAATGGTGTGCGTGTTTCATACACAGGAACGTGTCTTCCAACCAAACCCACTTTTCTTCTCTGAATCACTCAGGGAAAATTGATGCACCCATCATGGTTGTAGCCCCTGCCAAGCGTGTTACTCTTGGCTGTTGTGCAGGTTTGTGCACAAGGAGGAAGGGGACATGTGAGTGCTGTCAGAGAAAGGCAGCACTGGTAACTGTCTCCTCAAATCCGGTACAGCTCGGGCAACCCATTCTTGCTTGCACCTGGGAAGAAGCCATTTTCAGAAAAGAGGAGGTCCTGGGGAAACATGAAGATTCAAGGGTAGTTCAGGCTACGCACATAAGAGGAAAGCAGGATATGATGTCTTGTTTCTGAAGTGTGGTACTGTTGCAGAGCAGTGGCTTGCTCATGTCAATCCCTGAATGTGTCTCCTGCTGGGCTGGGAGGTTGTGGAGAGGCAAAGGCACCTCTTCACAAAGAGACCTACAGGGTAGGTACAGAGATCTGCATTTCAACTTCTGGCACTCTCTTTGCCTTCAGTAGATGGATAGCTGATGAGGAGGGTGCATCCACTGGTAGCTACATGCTCTGCTTTAATGCTTGGGTGCTTTGCTTCTGCTGTCAGGGTTGTGCACTGCTTGTCTGCCTCTACGCCCCTTCCCTGGGGTACAGTGTACAAGATCTCCCTTATCCTTTCCCTGCAGACACAGCATACTACATCACCTGAGATGCAGATACAGGCGTGTGAATGCAAGAGATAACTCCTGGTATCAGTCATTCACAAAAGGCACAGAAGGCCAAAGAAATCTGTGACTTCAATTGATTTCTTGCTGTGATGGATACCAGGGAATGTTATTTATTTCCAAGTCTAGGACCCCAAAGTGCCTGGTGTTATGCGAACGGAGAAAAATAACATCTTAGAGTTTACTCTCCACAGTGGAAGACATCATGGTGTGAGAGTGAGGTGGTAGTGATGAAATACAGCTCTTGGTATGCAAGCAACTTTATTGTCTAAATTATAACCCCATGTTATGGGATCAGTGTTCAGGATTGTGCTTTGCTATGCACTTTGTGGCAAGGCCAGTTTGTGGACAGATCGTCACTGAGCCATAGGAATGAGTATGCTGGTCTCGGAGAGTTCATTTAACACCCAAGTGACCTACCCTGGTACATTACTAATTCATTCTTTCTTTCAGTATGTGCTGGGTTTGCTCCACTTAAAACCAAAACACCCCCCCCTAATAAACTCCTAGTTAAAAGAAGAATTGGAAGAGGATGTGCTATTCTCACAATATAAGGGGCTTAAGTTTACTGTATCATCAGTATTCAGCCAGCTTTGTTCAGTGGAAAGTGGTTGTACAAAATCATCACTTTGCTGTTCCTTAGCTGTCTGTTAAGTTGTTCTCTTCAAATCAGGGATAGTTTGTGGCCTTATTTTGTTAAACTGTTTTGTCTGTGGATGTGAGTGAGACTGCCTATATCCCAGTTTGATAACTGAAGGGTTTTTACCCTTGTGCTAGGAGAGCCGCGGCTTTCCCATTGTCTGTGGTGCCTGCAGGAGCTGGGACCCCCGAGAGCTAGCAGGTCACTGCTCTGCAGTGCTGGGCTGTGCTCTACTTTGCTTCCCTCGCTTCTCCCATGGAAGTTCAGCCTTGCTGCCTGGCAGTTCTTGGGAGTTTTCTGCTCAATTTAATCTTATCAACTGATCAATGAAATGTGTGGTATTGGGGGAGAGGGGAGTGATGTGAGGCCAGTCTTTCTGGTGTCACCATCTGTTTCTGTATTGAGACAAGGCTCCTTGGGGAATTTCATGTTTAGAAAAAAGGGCTGATGGAAGGAGATGCACTAAAACAAACTCAGCCTTTCAGGAAATGGGGACTATGCTGGGCAGAAGTTAAAATAATTATTTGCTCCGTGGTTCCTATGCTGCTGTCTGAGCATGATGTTTCTTTTGGAAACAACATAAATGGGTGCAGCTATTCTACTGGATAGAGGCAATTGCTGTTGTAAAAACAGCTACAGCATCAAAGGAAACGGAATAAGTAGTTCTGGGCAGCTGAAATGCCACAGTGCCTGGGATTTTCATCGTGTTGCTTTCTACTCCTTAGAATCACACAGAAGGATCTGCCATAAGTCTGTAGGAAATGGTTCAGTATTGTATAAAAGAACTAGATCTGCCTCTGGGAGTATTTTTACTACTTTTACACATGGACTTCTGCTGGGAAAGGGGTCTGGGTCAGTCTGGACATTCTGATAATTTCTAGGTGTTGAAGATACCACAGGGATCTTATTGTCCATCTCCCCAGTTTTTCCTTCTAAATGGTACCTAATAAATAACAGTGTTTGTGCCCGTGGAGTGTCTCTTGTGCGTCAGATTATCAACTGCCTCTATCTCCAAACTAATTTTTGAGCTCAGGGAGTGGAAAGTGTGTGCAACTTGGACCCTCCTGCTCTGTGGGGACAGACCATGGAGGGCTCTGTGAGCGTGGCACACTCCTAATGCTGGGGGGCGCATTGTGTGTGCTTGTGTGTGTGCCATGGGTTACTGGTGTCTGGAGGCATTGAAATGTACTGTCAGGAATGAGTGTTTATGGTAAGTGCATTAGAAAAGGTTTTCTTTCATCCCACTGTTGGGAACTCCATGCCCAACTTTGCTGTTTTCTGACTCTTTGCTCTTGATACCACGATAGTAGTAGGAGCCTTGCCTTTGGTGAAAATAGCATAAAGATTTTCTAATACCATGTGTTGCTGTTCATATGTTTATGTGGCATAGTCAGAATGTGATTTAGGAAATGGATGATTTCTCAACAGCAATGTCTTGCCCGGATGCCTCAGGACACTTTGTCTCAAGCATCAAGAGTTTCAGAAAATGTAAGAGGATGTCATGAAGACCTCTGTATAGTTCCTCAAAATCTGTGTTCAATGTGTTGCTTACCACCTCTTTGGGATCTTGAAACTTGAATCTGCAACATAAGAAGACATTTCTTTGTATTACTATTGCTCACTAGCCATGAGGGTGATCTTTGCACACCATTCTTGGATTTAGGTACTGATCAGATGCACTGGTGCTTTTCATTCACTTGGTGAGGGGAAATTAATCTGCCTGCTGTGGAAGCTCTAGACCAGAACACAGCAGCAAAGCTAGAATTATGTAGGCCTTTTTTAATGTCATTACAACCAGTTCCTTTATTCTGAGGACTGAAGGTTGGCCAGTAGGTGTATCTTTTACAAGAAGGAAAATCCAGGCTACTAAAGTGTTTAAAGTGACCAAAGTAATTTTAAAAAGCCCACCTAAACCAAAATAAATCATTAAAAATAGAATTAGTGTTCCACATTCTGTATAATGTTATATAGAAATACCATTGCATCTCTTCAAACATAAAAAACCTATAAGCAAAGAGCTAATGGTGCTGACAGGTTTAAGAGGATAGGAAGGGATTTTATAATCAATAACTTAGGGGCAGAAAACAAATTAGGAAGAAAGTAGGTCTGTGAATCGATGAAAAGCAGTATGGCCTTAATGTTACTCAACAGTTTAGCACTTTGGCTTTTTCTCAGTACTTACCTAAGCAGAGTTTATGTGATTTCTATGGGAAGACATGGAACAGATTAGTTTGCAATAACTGAAATGTAGTGTGATGTTATGCCTAATTCTGCATAATTGCAGGTCATGCTCTCCCTGATTTGCCTTTGTGCTCCGGCTATTTCCTTTGTACCAAGTCTCAAAGTAAGGCAGGGCAGAAGAGGTCAATCCAGGAAACTGATTTCCCCAGCACTTTTTTGGTAGGTGCTTGCCCTGCAGATCCCTGCATATGTGTAACCAGAAATTTACCTTTGTGCTCAGGATTGTCTTGACAGACACCGAGCAATTTAAGATGTAGTGTGTGTGTGTGAAATTATATATGCAGCAGGGCTATTATATACACATCAGAGTGTATATAAATCAGTGTATATACACATCAGAGAAACTTTCATGTCATGTTATTTACCCAAGTAAACTCTTGCAAGAGAGAAAAACAAAACTCTGTGAAGTCTACTTAGCTGTTGCTGATGACTTCTGGAAGCATTTTGACTTACAGTGATGTGTGGGTGTATGACACTGTAAACATTCTTTATTTACATTTTCTATTATCATTATAGCATGACTTTTAATGACTGGCTACTCTAAGTTTGAAAATATTTAGACAGTCAAACCCACTCTTTTATGTGTTTGTATCTTTCTGTGATTCTTTCTATAAAAGTTGATGTTTTCTTATGTTGGTTTCCACATGAAGTTGATTAAAACTACTTTTTCTTCCTCTCATGTTACTTTAAAAAAGTCAAAACCAGTTTCCCTGAAAAGATAAGTGGGACTTGCTTAAAAATTTTAAGGAGCTGTGGCTTGGAAGCAGCCTCTGAATACTGCAGTTTCCCCCAGCTTTCCTTGGGTGTTTGCACCCCAGGTGCAGATCTTGCAGGCTCCAGTTCTTTCTAACGGGAGATCTTCTGGTTTTTGCAGGGTGCCAGGGTATGGCTGCGGGAGCAGGACCAGCTGCAGCCATGCACTGTTGTCTCGTGTGCCGATGGAAACGTGCTCTTCACCTCAGATTATGGGACGGTAAGCAAAGTTTGCATGAGGCTGTAACCTATGCCAAGTTGCAAGATGGACTTCTTGGTCTTGCATGACCTTCATGCTAAAAGGAAATTTATCAATTGAGATACTGCAATTCTGTCTGAAAATTGACCTGGCTGTGTTACAAACCAAGCCAAAGGTCTAAAGATGGTTAAAAAGAGAAGACTGATCTCTTTCTGCTGTTCCTTTGTCTGCCCACCTCACTTTTCTTAGTTTTTCTTGTGCCATCTTTGGAAGAGTTGCACTAACAACCTAGCAAACCCTTATACTGGCAAAATGCTCCTAGGAAGGAGGCAGCTCCACCAACTAAGCAGCCCTTTCTTCTGGGATGTGCCTCTTGCAAGCTGAGCTGCTGTAAGGGCTGTTGTGCTCACCACTGTCTGCTTCAGCAGCTTCTGCCATCAGCCCTTTGGGTCAGGGGCACATGGAAGTGAACTGCCTGTGTCAGATGGCCGTGTAAGTGCAGCAGCTGTGCATAGGACAGATCAACAAGGTAGATCCTCTGAGAGTAATGCTTGCTTTCCTGCCTTATTTCCAGCCCTGTGTTTCTTGTGGTTCCCTGGCGTGCCTACTACAGTGCTTGTGGAGTAATATTGGTAGGAAGGGACCTCTGGGGATCATCCGAGTCCTCAGTGAATCCGCTTAGCTCCCTAACCCGGGGAAAACTATTCACTGTCTTCTCTGAGGTTCTTAGGGAGTCAAAATGATGCCTGGGCTGGGAAGAGGATAGGGAAATGGACAGGAACGTGCCTTCCAGCAGCAAGCAATTAGATCTGCTCAGCTGCTTTGGTGAACAGTGCTCTGCAGGCAGCTTCTTTGTTACAGAAAATTGAACAGGTTTTCTTTCAGTCTTTTACCTGGCAAACAAAGGAGGGCACAGGGCGAAAGCGGATTTAGGACTCCAGCTTGTGGAGAGTCAGTGGTAGGACTGTCATATTTTTTAGTCTTGCTTTGAAAGGGCTAGATTTCAAATCATCATTCCTTTTTAAAGAGCCTGATTTGTTTCTCAAACTCACCTAGAAGACACATAGTTTTTTTTCATTTGGTTACTGTAGTCTCTCAAATCCTCTCTTGAGGAGCTGCCTTGTGTTGGGAGCGCTGGATAGTCACTAACTCATTTTAAGAGATCACAGGAGCATTTGTCACAGGTAATGAAGCAGCCTGCGGAGTGTCAACAAATGGTGAGTATTTCTGTGACTCTCACAGACTTGCTTCTGTCTCTTTTGACATGCTGCTGTGGCCTTGGAAAATCCTCAAAACCCAGCTGGCACCTCTGAAAGGATCCCACCATAGAGCCAGTTGGGTTGGGTCCACCCACCACCAGCCTGTGTCTGTGCTAGAAAAAGTGCACAGGATAATGCTGGGTGGAGTCACAGGTCTAAAAAAAGCTGGATTTGGGTTTTTTCCTCCATGAAGAAAGAAGCCACTAGGGTGAAGGAGCATGTGCTTTATGACTTATGCAGAAAAAAATCACACGGTGGTCATTAAAGGGCCTGCTTTATTCAGTGCCTCCCATGATGGCTGTCCTGTGTGCTTCCTTCACCCGCCCCCTTCATTGCTTGATAACTGTAGGAAGGACTGGCTGTCTTACCCCAAGTGAAAACGCAGATGAAAACATCTTAATGTTCCTTGGGTTGGATGGGCCAGTTGATCCCTCTGATTTTAGGATCCCTAAATCTAGTGTCCTCATGTATGCTGTGGCCCAGCATCTCTGCAGCTCTGAGGTAAGGCAGCCAGTCATGCTTCAGAGCTTTTGCCATTTGTTTTCACTTCCTTAAAAACACCTCAAGCAACAATCCATCAGAAATGTGACTTCCTGGGAGGAAAGGAGGAGCTGATACTTGTGAAATACAAGACTGGAAACCACAGTACAGACAGACCAGCTGGATGCTTTATGGATAAACATAACTTAGATGCTGGGTGGGAGCTTTGCTCACATGCTCAGGGTTGCACTAAATGGGTGGATTTGAGGTTGAGGAGGAATCATTTCTCCCCTGCTCAACCTGGCTTGGTTGGCAGTCCTCATACTGGCTTGTTTGCCAGCCAGGTTTTGCTTTATTCCTGACCATTGCATGCACTTGGAGAGAGTCCTGCAGTCCTGGTCATTTTGTTTTGACTATGGCCTAAATTTGAGACAATCAGTTCATCACTGGAGAGAAAGTAGAAATCTTTGGCTGTGTTGTGAGGTGCCTGTGTGGTATTTGGTGGCTTGTTTGTAGTTAACTGAAAGCTGATGGGTTTTCTTCCCAAATAATATGCTTACTAGTGCCTGTAAATTTCTGTTTAAGTATTAACTTGTTGGAAAGGATATTTCAGAGGCAGCTCTGCTGAATGATCATTTTTTCTGTCTTCTCACTTGCTTCAGGCAAAACCAGCCATCACATTCAGCTCAGTAGTGCAAGCTACTGAGATTAGCTCACCTTAACTGGACAGGATGATGGGGAGGATGTTCCTCCAAACTGCTCTCCTCACACATTGCTGGAGGGGTCCAGAAGTGAGCAGTGAGGTAACAAAAACCTTTTTGCTGGAGTGGCTGGAGATGAGAAAGGGCCTGGCTGGCCTGCATCAGTGCAGCACCTTTCAAGCTCTAAGAGTTAAAGGGTCATCATGTCTCAGTCACGTTTGTGTCTCACCTCAGAGCTCCTCAGGGAAAGCCCCTTTGACACAATCTTGGGAACAGAAAAGCATCACATGCTTATCTCCAGGACCCTGGGTGATCCCTGCAGCTTGTTGGTGGTACAGAGACTGGAAACTTGTCTCCACTCTGGAGGGCAGAGGACAGATTAAAAGTCAACTCTCTGCCAGTGCCAGGAAAGGCCTAGAACCTGTTCCACATGCCACAAGTGCCTTCCAGAGGCACTGAGACCTCACCTCACAAATCTCAGTGGGGCTGGAGGCCCCAGCCTCTGCCTGAGGACAGATGAGCTGCTAGGGCTGCAGTGATGGGCAAGGGTATTCAGTGAACCTCCCTAGCCTCAGGGACAGACAGCTGACATCTTGGCCTCAGCTAAGGTGTCAGTGTGGCATCGAACCACTCCTCCAGGGAATATATTTCACCTATGCAGTGTTTCTGTCAAGAGAGTACAAGAACCAATGCTCCTAATCCACCTTTGCTGCAGTCCTGCCCGAGCACCTGCTTAACTCTTGAAGGAACTTGAACCAGATTTTTTTTAGAGAGGGATGATTGAATAACCCCAGTCAAGCAGCTCAAAACAGGTTTAACAGGTGATGATCTAATCCCTACTAATCATTTAGTATATATATTTGGGGCCCCTGTTGCTCTTCAGGGTCCCATTTTCTCCTGTGTTGTCTACAAGAGCATAAACAAGCTCTGACCCATCAGAGTTATTCTTCATGCGTAGCAGCCTCTTGGCACAGGTGCTGATAACTGCCTGGTATCTTCTGGGACACTTGTCCACTCAGCTTTTTCCTTGGATGTTTTCTTAATGTTTCTCTTCTGGCCCAAATGGCCACAAGTGCTGACAATGCAGTGGTAAATGAGTAAGTGCCAGGCAGATGTAAGAAACAATCACATCATACCGTTATGGACTTGTCCCCTTCCAAAATTTGTCCAAGTCAGCAGAGAAGAGAGAGCCAGAGTGGTATGCTGCCTCATGGTTTGAAAATGCGGTAGTGGTTTTGCTCCTGACAGAGTCCAGTTTATGTTGTGCATCTGCAGCTTGTACTCCTCCATGAATTTAGTTTTCCCATTCTCCCTTCTGGCTCCCTCAGTTCTCTTGTGGAAATGCCTAAGGCCTCTTCTCTGAAGAATAAAGAAAAACAGATGTGTTTTTGGCAGGCCATGCTTGCAGAGTGGGGGTCCTGCTGCTGGCAGAGCCATATCTCTCTGATACCTAGGTGCAGAACTGATGCAGAGAAGACCAGAGAGGCTTGGAGAGAGCCTGTGTGCTGGCTGGAGTGAGCTTTGTTCTACACTGTTCATGAACTGTCTATTTTTGAAAGCCTCCTGGCTGGTGAGAAAATTGAACTGTGGGGCAGTTTTCCAGTGGAAGAGACCAAGTCCTTGTCACATCAGGTGTGACTGTGGCAAACACATCTGGGGAAATGAGCCCACTTCTCCTCTCCAGCTCCCTTCAGGAACAGAGCTGCTGTTTCAATTGTGCAGGCTTTTGCAGGTATCACGGGGATCTCGTAAAGGGATCCTGTGCCAGGTTATTCCTTCCCTGTACTGGCAAGGGTGCGGGCTCAGAGCTGAGAGGGGGAGCTTGCTTGGCACCTGCAATGTGCTGCAGCAGTGAGCGCCCTGCGAGGGACTCACACGGGTGGCTCACTTCAGGGGGCTGGGCGACCTCATTCTGTCTTCAGCCTCAGCTGCACGGCTGGCCTCACCCTAGCAGTTATGGCAGCCCAAGCACTCCAAGAAAGCAGGCAGATGAAACCAGTTAGATCAGTGCTATAGATCATGGTTCATTCTCTGTGGAGTCCATCAGTTTCTTGCTGGCACCTGGGAAGGCTGACAAGCAGGGATGCAAATGAGTTAGAGACCAGAGCCCCAGAAGAGAAGGAAAAGCCCAAGTTTCTTTGGAAGGATTGCTGAGGGCCAGTTTCCTTCTCCAGGCTGCCTGTATGAAGTCTCCTATCTGTCTATCTTGGGTCTTACCATCTAGCGCAGCTTGGGATGCTGGGTGGGAGATGGCATATGGTTAAATCCAACAGTGGGAAGCAACTGAAATAACTTTTGTGAAATGCCAGCATCGTGCTTGAGGAGGAGGGAAGGAGGCTGGGATGTGGCTGTGGTGGAGGGGAACAGTCGCATAGTCTCAGCTGTGTTGAAACGGGGTGAGGAAGATGACCTGATAGTTGAAGAGTGGGTTATTGAGGAGGAGGAAGCTCTAGCAGGAAGAAGGCAGCAACTGAGGCAAGAAGAGTGTGATTGCATTGAGAGAGAAGTGGGTACTTCTCAGAGCAGTGCTAGAAGTTAATAGCTGTCACTGGACAAACATTTTGAAAGCTGCATTATATGCATACATACCATCAAGCACAAAGGATGTCACTACTTTATTTGGTTTCTCATCTGCTTTGCTTTCCTTTGCTCTTGACTTAGCAACCTCTCCCAGACACTTTGGCTGCTCCTATGGAGAATGCAGGGCCAAACCTGGAACGTGAGTAAGCTTTGCCTTAACCTCCCCGCAGTCAGAGACATGATCCTACCTGTGTTTTTGTGAGACTGTTCCTGATCTCCTGGGAGCAGCTGCTGTCATTATTCATAGTCATGAGTGCAGTGTGTAATACCTGTCCAGCCTAGTGCAACTGGAGGCTGGTCCCCTCCTCTTCCTAACTGGATTTCAGTAATAATCAAGTAACCTTGCATTGATCTGTCCCTGTCAGTAGTGAAGGGGGGAGATTAACTCAGTAGCAAAAGAAGAGAGTGTACTGTATGATTTCTGGCCAGAGAGCTCAAATAGGTAGGAACAAGAATGAAAGAATTACTCTAAAAATAGGGAGCAAATCTGTGCCTTATTCACTTCCTTTTCTAGTGCTGAGGTATAAAGCTCTGGAAAGGGGCTTGTTGCTGGTAGGAAATCAAAGCATGTGCCCAGGTGTCATGAGCTTAGTTGTCCTTCTCCCCATTCTTTCAGGTATTCCAGTACCCCAAGGCCTCCCTTTCCAGAGAAAAGGTCTTGCCAATGCACCAGACCAGCGTTGATGGGGTAGAAGACATGTCCATGCTGGGAGATCTGCATGAAGCTGCCATCCTGCTTAACCTGCACCAGCGCTACCAACGGGGTAACATCTATGTAAGTGCTGAATCGGGGCCACATCCCTTCTGGCTAATGATTTTTGTTTAGCTTCAGGACTGCCACTTTGTATGTGAAATACTGTTTCCTGTAGATGGAAATGCAGGTTTTTTTCTCCCTTTGCAGTTCCATCAGCCTTCTGAGACCCTACCCCTACCAGAGGGGCCTCTCTGCATCTGTAGAATAACTTCAAAACATGCATGTTCACCTTTATGCTCCGTGGTAATTGTGCAGCTCTGTATCCTCCATGAACATCCATGTTTTACAAGGTGGCGTTTATATTCCCCAGATTCCCCATTATTGCTGTTCAGAGGTTCATGGCAGAGGTTTAAGCAGATTGGAAAGTGCCACGTATACGGGTTGTTGTTGAGTATCCCTCATGATCCAGATAACGCTACTGCTTGACAAAACTAGGAAAGCAAACCTGTTGCCTAATTCTACTTTTACATGCAGTTCTGCCTCTTTTGAGTTGCTCTGCTCTCCTTGCATGGATGAATACTCAAAGCATCTCCTGATTTTCCTCTTGGGTGTTCAGGAAGGAGGCAGGAGTCAGGAAAGGGACTTGTGAAAGAAAGCACGCCTGGAAGGAGACATCCCTGGAGTGCTGGGAGGGCAGTGTGCTCTGCTGAGAGTTGGAGAGGACAAGGAGGATATATTACAAAGACTGCCTTACCTTGCTTTGCTCTTACCTTTCTTGTCCATGCTATGTGCACCGAGAGTTTTTCAGATTATGACAGGAAAAATGTAAATCTCTATCTGTGTTGCATAGCAACTGTTACCCAGGCAACCAAACCATATGCACCTGTATTCCAGGAAATGATCAATAAAGTGACCCTGTTTCTGAACCATCTCCTGCACTGGGGTGCAGAGGAGACTGAAAATTCTGGGTTTTATTGCTGTAGACCCCCTTGCCTGTTGTCTATCAACACAGCCTTGTGACCCTGTGGCAGTACCCACGTGGACGCACTCTTTTGACGGCCCTTGTCCTTGCTGCTCTTCCTGACCTGTGTTTTACACATGCTATGTGTTTGTGCAGCTCTGCCCATATTCCTCCTGTTTCCTCTTCCTCACACTCTGAGATGTGAGGCAGGATTCTCTCCCTTTTCAGCCTGTGCCTTGCACCAGAAATGCTACAACACCAGCACTGTGACAGTGTCACAGCAGCCATATCTCCTTAAGCCTTTCCTCTGGCTCTGATCTGTCATTCCTTCTCCTGCTCAGCATTAGTTCTGTGGCTTTCTCCACCTGTGTAAAGGTGGTAAAGGTTAAATATGATGTCATTTTTTACTGGTGCATAGTGCATGAATGTCAGCTGTGCATCTCAGATCTGAATTTTTTGAAGATCTATGAAGGGACTTGACTTCTGTAACATGGTTAGCACTGGGAAGAACCCCTCAGTGAAGGACTGTAAGCCTCTCCTTGAGTGGGACTGTATGTGTGTATATGTTTGCACAATGCCTGACCTGGACAACACCAAACTGTACAAGTGCTGTTTTGCATTTCTGCAGTGCAGACATTAATATTGCAGTTATCTTATCACTGACTATTAGGTTTTGCCATAGCCCAACTGCATATAGTTTTCAGTTAAGCAGAAATTGAGAATGTCAGATGTAGTTCCACCTAATGACTTGCAGTGATCTGTGAATACCATGCATGTTACAGGGCTTGAGTTCATTTAATATCATCCTCAATGGCCTCCTCAGATAAGAGTGTAGTAGGCTAAGGTTGCAGATGAAGCTGTACTGAGAGGAGTTATGCCTATCAGTCAGGGCCAAAAATATTTGAAAGGAAATAAGAGAGATCAGAAACAGAAGAGACATACCACAATTTTCTAGAAAACAAATTCACCTGAAGGAATGGGTAACCTGGAATACTGGTAACTAGTATTAAAAATAATAATAAAAATAATTAATGAGAGGATGGAAAACTGAGAAAGTGAAGTGGACAACTGCTGTGAAGAAGGACAGTGCAGTTCTGAGCTGTATATCTGGAAGCATCCTGCCATGAGTTCCTAGAGGGGATCCTTTCTGGTCAGGGACTGTAGGTAGCAGTATATCTAGACTGGTGGGGGTACCAATAATTAATGTGATACAGGAACACTGACAATCTCAACAGTACCTTTTATTTTCCTAAGAAATACCATTCCAGCTCTACCAAATTGTTTAAGGAAATTATGTGAGCACAGCAAGAACCTGCAGCTTTTAAGAGTGCATCTTTCCCTTTCATTCCTTCAATTCCTGTATATCCCTTAATAAAAGGAGTGGCTGGAAAGCTGCCAATCAGAGAGGGACCTGGGGAGGGGTGTGACTGACAGCCGGCTGAACAGGAGCCAGCAGTGTGCCCAGGTGGCCAAGAAGGCCAACGGCATCCTGGCTTGTGTCAGCAATAGCGTGGCCAGCAGGGACAGGGAAGGGATCTGACCCCTGTACTCGGCACTGGTGAGGCCGCCCCTCGATTCCTGTGTTCAGTTTTGGGCCCCTCACTACAAAAAGGACATTGAATGACTTGAGCGTGTCCAGAGAAGGGCAACGGAGCTGGTGCAGGGTCTGGAGCACAGGTTGTATGGGAGCAGCTGAGGGAACTGGGGGTGTTTAGTCTGGAGAAGAGGAGGTTGAGGGGAGACCTCATCGCCCTCTACAGCTCCCTGAAAGGAGGGTGCAGGGAACTGGGGATGAGTCTCTTTAACCAAGTAATAAGTGATAGGACAAGAAGTAATTGCGTCAAGTTGCACCAGGGAAGGTTTAAACTAGATATTAGGAAGCATTTCTTTACAGATTGGGTTGTTAGGCATTGGAATGGGCTGCCCAGGGAGGTGGTGGAGTCCCCATCCCTGGAGGTGTTTAAGAGTCGGGTCGACATAGCACTGAGGGATATGGTGTAGTTGGGAACTGGCAGTGGTAGGTTAATGGTTGGACTGGATGATCTTCAAGGTCTTTTCCAACCTAGACAATTCTGTGATTCTGAAAAGTAGACCAAACATAATGTGAGTGATTATAAATGAGTCAGGGGCTGTACTGCCACATTTTGTACTGTCCTTAGCTCTGTCATATCTAACCACCCAAGTAGGATACATTGTCTTGAGAAGCAGACATGCCATGCATGGCTTTTCCTGCTCTACAGAGTTCTCTGGGGATGGTCACTCCTTGCTCATAGAGTGGCTGGTATGTACATGGTTGAAGCACAGATGCCACTGCTGTTAAAAATTGTGGATAGAAATTGTAAGGGACTACAGGTGATGACGAGACTGCTACTGGAAAAGTTTCCTAGAAATGCCTTTGAAAGAGATGGCTGTAGTGGAAGAAGTTCTGGAAAGGACTGCGGTCGGAGCTCTGTTCCTTGACAGAGCTGAAACTAGAGTGGGAAATGTGAAATGAAACATCTGAGGGGAAAAAAATCTGTGAAGGTCTGTGAGAAGTATTAGGATGGACATCTCTGTCTTGTAGCCTCTGGACAATGTCTGTTGCTCAACTGCTTGTACAATGCTTTTTCCCAATCCATCTTTTCTCTCTCAGTGCTTTTCTCTTTCCTCCCACCTGTCTTGCCAAATATCATCTGCTTGCTTATTGCTTTCATCACCAATGAGTTATATTTCTGCCCAACAAGGTCCATGTCAGAGAGTCCTCAGGACTTGTTCCATATTAGCCTGTTCATACTGATAATGCAGTTAGGCCTAGGTGAATGTTTTTTTTTCCCCTAATGATCTCTGACTGCTGCTTTAATACATGAGTCTTAAATTTTGTGATTACAGCATCTTATCAGTCTGGCTTCTGACTTCAGAGCTTGGCATTGCAGTATGGCCTCAGATTTTATTTGGCAGGGAGAAAGCATGTGTCTTTCTTGTCACCAAGTGTTAGTTTACAGCTTCTCCAATGGATGCATGCAAATCCTTCTGTATGTATGTGGTGACAGTTTGGAAATAAAACTAGATGTTGTCTCTGGGCACAAAGCTTGGCACCTATTGCAGCAATCTAAGTGTTTTCTCCATCACCTCTGCTGAGAGTGGGTATTCCTGGAGTAGAGCAGCCCAAGATGTCCCTGTGAAGGAGGCCACCATACCAGTAGCAGGATTTACGATGGATGTTAACCATATTACAAAGCCATTCTTAGGAGAGAGGTGGCACCACTTCTCTGAACTACAGCTCTGAGAATAACTGGATTTGAGCTGGCTGGCTGAACCAAAAAGTCATGCCCCAACCCCCAAATTTTATTTCCTTCTGACTTCACAAAAGAATATGTTTGAAATTCAATATTAGACTTTGGGTATTTTATTTTAAAGCTCACTAACTCTTTTCTTGAACTGTGAGATTTTCAAAATAAAATGTTTAGAAAACATAGAAATATTTTTACCTGAAATCCTGAGCTTCAGCTAACAACTTTGATTTGGCTTACCAAATGATTTAAGCTGCTCCAAACAGCATTTTTCAGCAGAAGAAGAATGATACATTTGAGTAGCTCTTTGCATATGTGTGTGTGTGTCTGTGTCTGTGTCCCACTTCTTTGTTCAGGAGGTGCTTGAACACTGCCAAGCCCCCTCCACTTAAGACTATGGATATAGGGGCATTGAAGGTATCTCCTGATACTCCTTCAGTCCTGGCTCTGCTTTTCAGCTTCAAGCACAGTGCAGAGTAGCTGGGTATAAAGATAGCATCATGTTTTTAAATTGTGTAAGCTTAATTTAGCAAAGACAACAGACTAAGAACATTTTATTGTAAAGCAGCAAAATTCAGTCTTCCCCATCCATACCCATTTGTGCAGCCCCTGCCCTGGGGTTTGACATTCTTTGCCAAATTGGGGAGCTCCCTGTTGAAGCCCAACTTCCTTACTTAGGCTTTCTCCCTTCATCAGGAGTTATTTCAGGGTCTGGGTTCGTTGTGATTTTTTTTTTTTTTTCAGGAGCTTTATTTCCTTGCTGTGTTTTGTTTTCTCCCCCTAGACAAACATTGGTTCCATCTTGGCATCAGTAAATCCCTACAAACCCATCCCTGGTCTGTACAGTGTGGATGCCATAGACCTGTACAGACAGCACCGCCTGGGTGAGCTGCCTCCCCATATCTTCGCCACCGCTAACGAGTGCTACCGCTGCTTGTGGAAGCGTCATGACAGCCAGTGTGTTCTGATAAGGTTAGAAATGAGAGAAACGGCTACTCCCTGACTGCATTACACGCCTTGCTCCTGCTGCTCTGTTTGCAATGACATCTGCCTAAATATTCACACCATCCTCCCTACCCTTTGCCTGATCCCTGCTTGCCACAGTGGAGATGCCACATGATTATTCCTGGAGATCACTTCTCTGCTGTGGGTGGGATGGTCATTAGCTATGTCTGTCCTAGATTTGTGAATGACATGTATGTTTTTTCTTAACAGTGGAGAAAGTGGAGCTGGAAAGACTGAGAGCACCAAGTTGCTGCTGAAATTTCTGTCAGCCATGAGCCAGACCTCCCTTGGGGCCCCTCCATCTGAGAAGAGCACTCGTGTGGAAGAAGCCATCCTGGAAAGCAGGTACAGTTATCCTCACGGGCACCAGCGTGCTGGAGCAGCCTGCCTTTGGTGGGGGCGCTGCCTTCTTCTGGGCAGTCAGGCTGCGGATGGAGCCAAACCTCAGCGGACGGAGCCAAACCTCAGCAGTGAGGATCATGCAGCTGAACGGTGTCATGTCAGGGGGATGCGGAGGTCGTGATCTCCCCAGGACACCTCGCACTGGCTGCTGTCCCAGCTACCCATGGATGAATTAGGCTTCTTTCCAATAGCAGTGCAGGATGCTCATGGTAGCCAGAGAATTATTGCTCTAGCCAAGGCTGGGATTTCTCCTTCCTTCAGTAACTCATCCCCTGTGCCCTCCCAGCTGCACCTTTGAGCTCACCTGCACATCACTGCGCTGTTCCTCCTTCCAGCTCTATGTCTCCTGTGGCAGTGACTGGAGGGGACATGGATAACGTCCCTCACTGGCTGGTCCACATTGTCTGTGTCTCCCACAGCTCTCCGTTGTGGATGTGCTTGTGATGAGTCTCCATCACATTCTGACTCCTGGTTTCCTCCTTTAGCCCCTGCTCTCCCCTGGCCTCTGTGTTTCAGGCCACTGGTATGTCTTGCCCTCAGAGGACCTGTGGGTCGCCTTGCAGCTCGCTTGCTGTCCAGACAGGTGATTTCACAGAGGAGCATCCATGGGAGCTGTAAGGGGCATGAGCGAGGAGGTTTGCTTGGGGCTGCAGCAGGGCCTCAATGGGAGGAGGCCCCGGGCTGGCCAGAGCTGGTCTTGGCTGAAGGTGGCACCAGGGAGTAACCACCACCCGCCAAAACCTTGCTCAGGTGTCAGGCAGGCAGGGAAGTGCATGGTGCCCGGATCAGATGTGTTTGGAAAAGAAACTGGCAGCCATGAGGGCATAGAGATGTGCTCTGTCGCAGATCTTTCATGCTGAAGGAGGTCCTGACACTCCTGAGGGACCGTGGCCCATGGGTGACCCATGCTGGAAGAGGGACACCAAGGAAAAAAGTGTCAGGAAAACCTGAAGAAGCAAAATGTGGTCGAGGAAAACCAGTGAGAGGCAAAGTGCAGCAGAGAAAACGAGGCAACAAAGAGCAACAGAAAGAAAGAGTTATGTGTGTTAACCCAGCCTCCTGTGCTGCCTGCTGCTTTGCAGGGGTTGCGAGAGACTGTTTGTAACCTGAGGTAAAAATGGAAGCTGAGGCTAAGAAAAGGAGGACAATAAGTGTTTGACTTTCAGGTAAGCCTTGGGAGGATGGAGGAAAGATGTTTACATAAGTGTCTGTTATTGTTCGTGTCTTCCTTTTCCTTAACTCCTGAATTCTATTTAATGAATTAAACTTTTAAAAAATTTCCCAACACAAGACTGTCTTGCCTGTGACTGGAGGACCTTGCTGGGCATCTTGCAGTTTGGTACTGTCAAGGGTGAGGCTGCAGGTTGGTCCCACTTTGAGCCTGTGATAGTTACAGAAACATCCAGAGTAGTAAATCAGATGTCTGCAACAGGATCTAGTTGTGTAGGAAGCTGGAATCCTTTGAACCATCTGTGTGAAAGTGACTCTCATGCAAGTGGCATATTTCAGGGCCCAGAGAGTAGGGAGAAGGAATGTTTCCTGGAAGACAGTGACACAAGAAAGTTACTAGTAACTGTGGTGAAAATAGCCTAAGCAGACACGGAGCTCTAATGTGGCAGCTGCAAGAGCATTGCAGTTTTTAGGATCCTTATAAGCAGAGCAGCACTGAGCAGAGGGTTGCTGCCTTTGGACCTGGTGCTCAAGAGACCATTGCTGGATGATTTATCCTTTGTAGGTGTGCAGATTTTACCAGGGACATTGGCAAATTGGAAGAAGCTCTTGAGTGTAATACAGTCATGACTCAAGATCTGCAAAATCTGCTTTAAGGCAAGCAGCTTAGAAGGCTTAAACCTGCTTAGTGATTAAGTGGTAACTTGCCTGTGATCTAGAAAGCTTACGATGGTTGGTAGGTGATTCCTGAGTGTGCAAGATCCCACAGCTGTGAGGTGGAGTAAGAGCTTGCAACCCATTTTGTGTACATCTCTAGTGCTACATGAGCTATTGTAATGAGACTGCAAGAGAATTTGGTTTGTCACCTTTTCCCCGGAGAAGCTGAAGACCTGGCCCAGGGCCCGAAGCTGTTGCCACTCCTAACAAGACTGCTTCATATGTCTGCAGCTCAGCTTCACTTGCTCTGCTACTGGCCCTCCTTGGGTTAGCTTATGGTGAATTTTCATCCTCGCACCCCAGCACATACCCAGGAACAATGCTGGATTCTTTCTCCATTTCAGACAGCATTATAAACAAAGCCGTTACATCAGCTTTCTATCGTTTGCTTGTGTGTTGTAATGTTCATGCTGGGTATATTTCTCAGAAATCAGGCTCTTAAAACTCCCTTGGCACTGTTGATTTGGTCTGTTTTCCGTCTTGAAAATATCCATCAGTCCATTAAAAATTCTGCTAACTTTTGTCTTGCTTCTTTTTCTTGCTCGCTTTACTCTGAAGCTCCCTTCTCCATGTTGGTTGCCACTGCTGACAGCACAGCCACCTTCCCTGTTCATCCCTCTAATCTTCAAATCTTCTTTTTTATCTTTGGCTATGCATCTGAACCCTAGAGCTGCATATGTTGCAATATTTCTAAAATCCAGGCTTCACTTTGTGCTGTTCTGCTGAAACTGGTTCCCACTGTTTGGAGTCCCGCAACACACCCTGTCCATGTCCAGCCAAGCAGCCAGCATCACCTTCCTGATGCGCCGCTCTGCCTCGCACAGTTCGCTGCTGCATCAAATGCCACGTTGTGATGTGCCCACTGGTGTAGGCAGTTGGCTTGGCCCAGGCACCTGCCCTCACGCCTGCCTGACTCAGCTCACCCGCACCTCTGCCTTGCAGCCAGCCTCAGCACCCATGTGCCTGTTCCCTCCCCCACCCCTGAAGGACTTCCACACTCATGTGCGTGAGCCCATTGCCAAACTAAACTATAAAAATACTTCCTTGTGCTTTGCTTATCTAATTTAACATGATTTAGAGCCATAAAGATTGGCTGGCTGGTTACAGCACTCACACTGCAACTGTGGTGGTCATATAACGCAACCCTGTCCTCCCTTTTCTGGTTATGCCCATTAATTTTTGTTGATTCATGGTGTTGGTGTGTTCAGTGGGATATTCCTGTGCAATGTCCTTATCTACATACTTGTTTCACAGATGTGGGTCTTGGGAGTTCACATTCTCCAGGGCAAGGAACTTACCTCCTGATCTGTGCAGAGAGATTTCTATGTAATGTGTTATAACAGAGTGATTTAATTTCTATGCTTTTGTTTATTTAAAGTGATATTTTCAAGAGGTAAATTAGGAAAATACTTCCTGAAGTTCCCTGAAGGTTGTTGGGCCTTTTCCACAACCACTTAGCTAACACTTGCAAGGTCTGAAGCTTTCAGCGAACTCCAGTAGTATCTGTAGTTGTGATTATTTGTCATGTTGTTATTATTAACTTGTGAATAATCCTGTATCTGCCCCTGTCTCCAGTGGGACTGCACAGTAAATTGATAGAGATGTTTAAAAAGCCAGTATTTCTCAGGGTAACAATGGCAATAATTTTTGCTAAAATCTCTGTATGTCTTAAAATTAAACATAACCACATACGGGCCGTTTTTGTAGCATCTCCATGTCTCCTTGTTTGTCAGGCCTTCAGATTATTTTAGAATTAGATTATTTTAGATTAATCCTGGATTCATTTTGTCAGTTTGAATGGTTTAGGCTTTTCCTTTGTACTGTTCTGTGGAGCAAGAACCAAGCTGCATTTTAACTCACCGTTTTCCATGTTGTGTGAATCTCCTGAAGACAGGAAGGTGACCAAGAGACAAAACTATTCAATTCATCACCCACCTGAGTTTGGTGACAGACATTTTTGCAACATTTTTTTTTTTTTTCCCAGAAGTGAATGATGTGACTCTATAGATTTGAAAACTTCATTTTAAGAGTATGTGTATAGTCCCTCTACATGGAAACCATGTGGCTTGTATCAACCTAAGCAAGATTTAAGTAACAAGGGCTTGTGTGTTCCGGTATCAAATTTCAGTACCAAACACATCAGTTTAATATTTGTTTGTTAGTTTGAAAATGTTTGCCTGTAATTTTAAGAGATGGCTCATACTGTGTTCTCTTTCAAAGACAGAAGCAGGACCAAAGAAGTATGTGGTTTAAAGCTACAGAGTGTTTGCCCTATATGTTTGATGCTTCTGAAAATCCTGAAAAAAATACAAGCCCATTTCATGGGATGCTGCTGTGTTAAGCACATAACCTGGCTGGGTCTTGCCACCTTTCATTTCCTGAAGCCACATTGGTGGGGAATGCCCTCAACAGCACAAACACCAGCTGCCCGTACTGATTGGGACTGATATAATTAACTCCAATCCCAAAGGTTTAAAATTTATCTAGCAGCGTGTTAAATTGCTCTCGCCTCCTTTCTTGCCCTTGAGTTCTTCCTGCTTGTCCAGTCTGGTGCTGTAACCAACTAATCTCACGGGGCAGTGCACACTGTGCAAATGGTAAAACGCTGGGCACACACTTTGTTTTAATGGTATCCCATCACCAATAATATCTTCATTGCCTTGTTTCTGCAGCCCCATTTTGGAGGCCTTTGGAAATGCCAAGACAGTTTATAACAACAACTCCAGCCGCTTTGGCAAGTTCATCCAGCTGCACTTCTCTCAACATGGACACATCCAGGGAGGCCGAGTAACTGATTGTATCCTTTTCTTCAGTGGGCCAGAAATGGATGGAGTAAGTGAAGACAAGGAGGAGGAGCTCAGAGTGGGTCGGGAAATTCCTCATCATGGTTTCTCAAAGCCAGTTTATAATTGTGGGCAAATTTGCAATTTAAAGAGGGAATAAATATTTGTTTTGTGGCTCTGCAGCACTTACCTCTGGAAACCTTTTCTCTAGGTACTATATTAAGTACAGACATAGTTTGACTCTTCACTTTGGCAATCACAGAACTTGATACTTAAATCCCTATAATTTGCTACCTAGGGTGATCCCTCATGTTGACTGCATACTTTTTTTTTTTTTCCCAGAAGATTGTTCCCTTATGTTAGCTTTGCCAATTAATTCATGGTTTAGAAAAGTGAGACCAAGCTAAGAATCAATATATTCTGCACAATATTTGAATGCAGAGGAGAATAGGAATTCAGAGGGCCAATTATGACTCCCTGTTTTGGGCTGCCCATCTCCAGTAGTCCTTGTAACCCTAATCATAGAATCATAGAATGTCTCCAGCTGGAAGGGACCAATAAGGATCGTTGAGTCCAACTACCTAAAACTAAATCATATGACTAAGAGCATTGTCCAGATGCTCCTTGAACTCTGACAGGCTCAGTGCCATGACCACATCCCTGGGGAGCCTGTTCCAGTGACAAGAACAGGGGACACTGGGTATAGTCAAATCATGTTGTGCTGTGACCACTTTCTTCTATGTATGCCCATGTACCCCTCTCCCAAAGGCTTTGACATATACTTTGTCTATATGAAGCAGATAAAGCTGCCCTGGCTGCATTTCTTGATGTTGCTATTCAAAGCTGCTGCTGACTGCAAATCACACCAATTTCCACTGGAGTAGCAGCCAGATGAATTTACTACTGTTGTAAATAAGAGGCTTGGATTGTTTAGTCTCCGCTCTTTGTGCTGTCGGTAGATTAAAGATAGCAGTCTCTTGCAGAAGCAATGAAAGCTGATGCAAGACTTGCTGTGTGCAATACAGATTTTCAGATTAGAGTGCCCTCTCTAATCTTTCTAGGTGTCCCTAATGTGGCTCATCCTTTATTAGGTTACTTCACCATTGTGCAGGCCCTATGCTTTATCTGACTCTGCCCTTCTAAGTAACTTCTTGGACATGGAGTAGAGAGGAGAATCTGGGATAGTGTTTTTGCCCACTTTCCAAAGTGTCAGTTATTTAATGATTTGTTGCTTGTTACAGGGTTCATCCCAATGTGTCTAGAAGATTCTTTGTCAGTCATCAGGAGATCTGTGCATATGTCATTTGAATGTTTTCTCCTTAACATGCTGTTCAGATTTACTGGAAAAGGTAGGCATCACCTCTACTGACTGCTGGGTGAACCCTCTCCTCATAGCATGGTGGGGCAGTGCCAGATCTCCTCCTAGATGATGCTGCCTCTGTCACAGCACAAGACATTAGCTTTTTAGGTGTTCCTACTGCAACTGTCCCAACTGAGGAAGGGGATAGTGGAGGAACAATGTTTATTTTATATTCGTCAAAGCTTGTTTTCCTCTTTGATAAAGTCCGGACATTACAGAGTGACTCCAAGAAAAAGCTGTTTACCAAGGGGAAAAGGAGAGAGAACAAGTATCTGGAAACTCAGTTCCATAGAGAGGAATATGGGGGTACAACTCCAAATGCAGAGATCTCTGCTCTGATGTAGTTTACTTTGGACTCAGGAACTCACAGAGGAGCAGGACCAGAACCAACAAAGTTCAGTTTCTCCATGCATGTACTCTCTAAGTGAGTTCAGGGAAGTCTGTACGTGCTCAGTTGCACAGCCACACATGTCAGGATCTTGATGTAGCACTTATTTCGACAACACTATCACTGAACTGGAAGAAGCCCCTCATGCACTGGCCGTGGAACTTTTACCTCTGTCCTGGTCCTTTCTTTGCCTTTGCAACCACAAGTGCAATCTCTTTCTACTGGCTACTCCTGTATTCTTTGTTTCAGAACAGAGTGGTACACCAGAACCCCGGAGAGAGGAATTACCACATCTTCTATGCTCTGCTGGCTGGTGTGAGTGGGGAGCAGAAAGGTAATTTTGTTTTCTGGGATATGGCTCTGTCCTTTTTCCCGTCCAGCATGTGAAGCAGGTGTAAGTCAGTTGGAGCATGGATATTTCAGGTACTTGATATGTAACTCTTTCTTGAAGGCCATATGGTGATTTCATTTGAAACAGAAAGGGGGATTGAGAGAAAGAGGCTGAGGATGACAGAAATGCTATGTGAGAAAAGACGCATCAGGTATTCTGAGCTGGAGGGAGAAGTCTGTGCTAAGTGATGAGGTAATGAAACTGGCTAGAGGCAGAGGAAGGGATGCTGATGGGAGCTGTTCAAGGAGTTCAAAGGTTGAACTGACAGACATACTTTTACAACAGACCCTCAGTATGGGTAACAGGAGAGACAAAAATTAGAAAGACCATCAATGTAGAGGCAGGGCTAGAGTCAAAACATCTCTAGTATCTAATCACAGGGTTTATAGCTCTGTACATGGGGAGAGGAGAGGTGGATCTGGAAGAGAGCATGCAGAGAAAGCTGAAGCTGCAGGTTGTAGAAGAATCCTCTCTGTAGTGCAGCATCACCTTAACGTTTGTGTGTACCTGCCCTGGGCACTGCTGAGCATTGATGGTCTTGCTGAAGAGGTCAAATAGGCAGGCAGAAACATGTTACAGTTGCACTCTGGTTTTGAGAGACTGGGGAATTTCTTTATGCCTTTGTTCTCTGTGTGTTAGAATGATCAAATGGGATAACTGGGCCTGACACAGAGTGGAAGGGAGTAGGGCTTCAGTTCTAGGGAGTTCATGCAGGAATGGCCACATAGGTCAATTCAGAGATCTGTCTAAAGCAAAGGAAAATAGTGGTGATCATGGTTATCAGCAAGTACTTAGGGGAAGCATACAAAACAGATGATTTTCTTCATCAGATTCCTGCTATTCTTCCCCATCTCCCTTTCCAAGCTGGTGTCCCAGGCTGCTTCACTTCCCTCATCTGTAATGTGTTTCTGGCTCTTGATCATTCTTGTCTCCTTTCTTCACAGATCTTTTAGTTCTCCTCTATCCTTTTTGAAATGGGGAGTGAAACCTGTGGATAGTATTTAAGATGTGGTTGCACTACAGATGATATTTACAAAGACCTAATTCTGGTTTTATGTTTAGCTCTGTGTTCCTTCTAGAACTGAAGGAACTGAACTGTTCAGTTTATGACTGCTGCTCAGCACTAAGGTGATGTCTTCAGAAAGCTTACTGTGACTCTGAGCTCTGTCTCAAGTGGTGATGCCTAATTTAGAGGTCATTACTCTATGTGTGTACTTAAGATGATTTTTCTGTACACATTGTGAGGTTGAATTTCATCTTCTGGTTTATTTTGTTTTGCTGAGTCAATTCAGTTCTGAAATATTCTTCTGCAACTCTGCAGCTTGGGATTTTCTAAATCATTTTGTATACCATCTGCAAGCTTTACTACGGCACACCCTCCTCTTCCCCTTCCCCAGTGCATTCACTGTCTATGTGTGGCTTTTGAGGGATGTGGAATCTATTCAGATAAACTCTCTGTATGGTAAACATACACACTGTTTTGGGGGACTGAGATCATAGAATGAAAAGGCTGGTTGCTAAATAAATTGTCTTTCTCCTCCCTGCCTCTTTTTCCTCTGTTGCAGAGAGCCTCTTCCTCTCTGAGCCAGAGACTTATCGCTACTTGAACCAGTCTGGTTGTGTGAGTGATGAGAACCTGAATGATGTAGAGATGTTCAGTAAGGTCATGGTGAGTCCTGTCCTAACTCTCCTGAACTTCTGGGCACAATCTCATAGAACAAATGTGCTGCAGAGTGTAGATCTCACAGGCAGAATTTATTTGCTCTAAGCCAAAATTTGGTATTCGACAAGTCTGAAACTCAGCTCTACCTGTTCATGGTAAAAACAAGGCTTGAAGAGTGGGTTTAGTGTAGAGAAATGGGGGAATTTGGGAAACGGTCAAGGATGAATAATGATTTAGAATGATGGAGACTTTGGGGAGTACCCCCCACCCCATAATGTTTCCTGGGAGCCGTTTAGATGGCCTGATGCAGGAAACCTCACACTGATCATCAGAAGGGGAACAGTTTGGTCTGAAGGCAGTGTTCTCCAGAAATTTGTATCACCTTTGCAAATGGCATATTCTAAAATCACACACAGATTTCAATAGACATCTGTAACTTTACCAGAGGTTATAGGTTTAGCAGGATGAATATGCAATTCATGTTTTGTTTGGTAAGTGGTTATTGGCCTGAGGGCTCTAATAATGTAGGTGAAACCAGAGAAGCAAGGTGAGAGGAGTAAGTTTAGGATTTCAGTAGCTTCTGCTTAGGCGTGATTGAAGGGAAGGAAATATCTCCTGTGCAGCAGAGGTTTCAGTGGCAAAATGGAATTTATACTTCAGCTGGGGAGCTGCCTGGAGGAAAGAAGGGAACTAGAACCCTGCAGCGCTCCAGTGACAGGGAGAATGCATGAAAACTAGGTCGTACCTCTCAAAGTCAATTTATGCCCATGAGCCCTGACTCACGTGCATGCACTAAGACAGAGGGAATGTGCCATTCTTCCTTGTCGTCTGGTAACCTGTTTCTAACCTTTCAGCAGTTAACGCTGAAAGCCTGGTTTTAAATCTTGCTGCATAAATCTACTATTCTAAGCTAGAGTAGGGAGTTACATGGATCAGAGTAAATTAAGTACATTATATGGATCCGTCCTTCAAGGGAAGACAAAAAGGCAGAATGTGGAAGCAGTCCAGTGACGTCTGTAACCTGTACTGCCAGTGTTCAGGGAAGGATTTCCTCACACAGGCACAGACAAACACATTCTTCCTGTGACAGACAGGCAATGGCAGCAGCAAAGTCCAACTTGAAGACAGGGCAAATGCCCTCCTGCCTTAGATGGGGATAGGGTAAATGAAAGAGAGAATGGGAGACAGTAAAAATCACTGACAGATGTATAACAGAGACGGGCTGTGCCATCCTGTTTCACTTTGATTCATGATGACTGTAATTCTGAATTTTACATCTTATATGGGCTGGGCATGAGTGTGGTGGTTGCATTGTACTCTGTGCCTGTATGTATAGCCAACATTAGCTGTATGGTTTTGCATAGACTGCCATGAAGGTGGTGGACTTCAGCACTGAAGAAATCAGAGACATCTTCAAACTTCTTTCTGGCACACTTCATCTGGGAAATGTTGAATTCATGACAGCTGGTGGGGCCCAGGTCACAACAAAAGCGGGTAAGTGGGACCCCAGCAACTTCGTAGACAATGCAAAACCCAGTAAGGCCCCAGTAAAGCTCACTCTGTCATTCTTTCTGCCTCTGCTATGCTGGCCTGCAGTGCCTTTGCAAGCAGGTTCCCTGCCGTTTAATCCTGCAAAAGCATTGCCACAGGATGCATAGCTTCAGAGCCCTGATATATTTTAGTTGGGCTGTGGCCCTGTGATCCATTTGTTCTCCTAGACCCTCTCAGACTGAGTCCTCAGTCTCACAGTTTCTCTTTTGCACTGAAAGAGCAGGAAGAAATAGGAACAGGGAAGACTTTAGGATAAAAGTAGTCTGTTACAGACTTTCCCACATCTTCCTTTGAAGCATCTTTTAGTGTGCACCGTTACAGTTATCCAGTCTGAGGTGGTCTGGTAAAGTGAATCCCTAAACAGACAGAAGCAATAATTATATGCTACAAGTACTTGAAGTCTTAAGTTAATTGCCTCTCTCCTTGACATCCAAGTTTAGCAATCCCATGCTCAGACAGCACTATTGTGCCTTTAGGAAAATGTAGCTTCTCATTCAGTAAATATTTTGCTGGTGCTGAGCTTTACACAGTGCTTTGGTCTTCCTGTTGTCAGCAGAAAGGCTGACTTACAAGTGTCTGTGGCCCATAACGGGTGCTGACCCTGACCCAAACTGGATGTGTGAGCTTGCAGCTTTGGGTATGCCAAAGAGAATTAATTAAAGGGGGATGCGTTTTACACTGGGGCTTAGTCACTTGCTTTGTAGGAATCCCTGGGATTTCCTCACTGAACTGTAGAATATGGATTCCCCCCATTAGTGATGGGGTTCCATGCAGAAGAAAAAAGTGTGTCGTCTTTTGTTATTAGTGCTGAACATTGCCAGTGACCTCCTGGGCTTAGACTCCTTTCAGCTTTCTGAAGTACTGACACAGAGGTCCATGATTCTGCGTGGGGAAGAGATCAGCTCCCCTCTCACCGTGGAACAGGTAAGTGTCCTAGTGTATACTACTGCTTCTGCCACTTCTACATTTCCAGGCCCTCTGTCTCCCTCTTGTATCATCCATTCAAGTTTAGGGTTTCTTGTTACACCCCCTAGGTGCTCAGCTGTGCCCTCAAGTATTTTGCCCTCGTTCGTATTTCAGGTCCCCGTGTTGACTTTTTAGGCTTTACAGGGGAGTTCACTTGCAAATGGCAATGCGCAATGCTGGTTTTAAGTCACCTTCCCTCACCAGGAATTGGTCATGCTTGTGTCGTGTGGAAGGTACATCAGATGCTTTGTGGTAATTGCATGTTTGCAAGCGTGGACCTTGCAGAACTCCCAAGTTAATGCTGCATTTACTGGAAGATATAAGCTTGCACATAGTTACCACAAAACCTCCGGCAGATGGTAGGTTGTTACCTCACAGTAGCTTCTTTGTGTATCCATACAACTGCAAAGGAGGGCCAAATAAACTGATAGGTAGTTTTCATCTGCTAAACCTATACTGTGTGCTGGAGCCCATCCTGCTTATCTATTACATTTCTATGTGGTTCATTACAGTGTTGTGCTTACTGACTTTGATTTGTGGTGTTGCTGATCACTTGAGGGCACTCTTGGTGTTTTAGGTCCATGGACAGATAACTAGAAAATCTGTTAGTAATAAAATGCAAGACACTGGGAAACAAGGAATTATATTACTAGTATGGAAGAAGCATTATGTATAGTAAAATGAAAATCTGTAATGGAAATCTTATGCTGGCATGGACTGCAGAAGGTTATCAATCCAACCCCTATGTTGGCAGAGAAACCAGAGTTACTAGGTTCCCTCTGACAGATGTCTGTCTAACCTTCCTTCAGATTTCCCATGGAAGGAATTTCACAGCCTCTTTAAGTATCCTGCTGTAGCTTCAGTGGAATCTGGAGCTGGAAAGATTTTCCTCATAGTTAGATTACCTTTGACATCCCAGCTGTCCACCTTTATAGCTTCTGCTTCTGTGAAGTTTTTCACGTGGTGTTCTCTTTTCTAAGCTAAACAATCCAGTTCCTTCAATGTTTCCTTGTAAGTAATTTTCTAAATCTCTTCTTTCTCTGTTTTCCCACATCTTTCAAGAAGTGGAGTACCTCTAACTGGACACCGTATTCCAGCTGAAGTCTCAGCAGCGGTCATTACAGCGTAATGTACAGAGTAGTCACTTCTTTTATTGCTGTGAAAACACCTGCTAATATATCACAAGCTAAGCTTTGCCTTTAAGAAATGGTATCTTTTCATAGTCTGTGACCGTTCTTTGAAATGAAATAGTGTGAAAATTCTTTTTCATCCTATAGTCTGTGATAGATATCCTCAGTATCCAGTACCAGTTTCTCTCATCAGCTGCCCATGCTAAATAAGCCACGTCTTTCTATATCAGTGCATAAGGATGGATAACAAATAATGCCAGAGACACTCCCTGCAGTCCAGAGCAACAGTACACAGTTGTAGGATTTACAAGAGTCTCCCTGAACAGAGCTTTCCCTGATAGTATAGCAATTCCTGACATTTGTGCATGTTGGACCCCACATGTACTTCTTGCTGCCCAGTGAAGACTGCAAGAAAATTCTTATAGCAAGTGGATGCTACTACTTAGCTGTCTTCACCAGGTGAGCCTGTTGCACTGAACACTGGGCCTGTAAAGACTTGTTCCAGTTTAAGCCCTCATGTACTGTGCCCACCTATCTCACTTGTTGCTGCGGGAACACACTGATAGAGCTGCCAGGGAATTCTCATTGTGTAATGGGCTCATTACCCATCTGAGCTTTGACATTTTAGTGGGCTGAATGGATGAACTGGCATGAAGGCGGCCAAAGCTGGGAGGATGAAAGGAGCCTTTGAGAATCTCATTTGAACCATATTGTGGGGAAAACATCTTTGCTTACAGCGGGATGGGGAGGTCCTGTTCTTGGAAAATAAGTCTAACTTACTGTGTAGCCAGAGACATTACAGAGGCATGGCCTTGAGGGCATTCTTAGAACTAGCTAATAAGACAGATCATCTGATGGAGAGGAGAAGTACCCAGAAAAGGCACGTGTGCCCATGCTTTGAAATGTTCTGTTTTGTGGAAAAGGGAGGTTGCTGCGTGTCCTCAGCCTTGGGCTGCTGGAGAGGGGATACTACCCAGGAACAGAAAAGAGGAAAAAAATAGTGAGATTGAGTGAAAAGAAAGATCTTGCAGGCTGGGGCCTCAGGAGCTTGCTGAGAGGGGCTGGGAGTATCCAGAAGCAGTTTGCCATTAGCAAAGCAGAGCAGGAGAGGTCATGTTATTCAGGCCTGCAAAGTTGAAGAGGATGAGGATACATTTAGAAGATCTCTGTCATTACTGGTCAGGCCTACTGTAGGAATTACCCTGGTGTCACGGGTAAGACAACCTGTAATTCATCCAGATACTGCGGTTTGTTTATAAAATGACAAGATTATAGGTTTTACCCTACTTGATTATTTCATATACTTGCTCACTCACCCTTCAGCATTACGTTCATTAGATGTCAACTTCTTTTCCCAGTTGGGAGACTGCTGCTTGTCTAGGAGGGTCAGGCTGAAAGTTGTGTTGGATCATGTTGTGTACCTTCTTGCACTTACCAGTCTTGGGAACTACCAGCTGAGGTCCTTGGGCATACCCTGACACTTGTCTCCACATGTATCTCATCCTCAGGGTCTTTCCCTACTTCCAGTGTCTTTCTTCCAGTCAAGATCTTTGTCATCTTCTTTCCTGGCTCCCTTTTCTACTCTCTGGCTTCATGTCTTCTTTTGGGGAACTTTTATTTTAGCCTCTTCTTCTTTACAGAACATTAACCCTTTGGTTTCCCAGTCTGAATAGTGTATGTACAGAAGGACAGTGTGGGATCAGCCTCTTAATTCGTGGTTCTAACTCATGTCTCTTTATTTATTGGAGGATTTTGGGTGTGCCACTTTTGTTTAGTCCAGGTTTTATAAAAATTTACAACCAGCCCGTTCCTGTTACAGCTATCAAATAGCATGCTTTCACTTGAGATTTCAAAAGTTTGATTTCAGACATTCATCCACACACTTACATACACCCAATTAACTTCCTGTTAGTGATCACAATTTAAGTTATTTTTTCCACCTATGACACTTGGTTGTGGTCACTGCATGGGATGTTGGCTCAGCTCCAGAAAGGTCTCTCAACCCATGCTCTTCTGTGGCATGTCTTACCTGGCTTCCAGTAAGATAATGCTGTTTGCAGGAAAGTTTTGGAGGGGGGATTTTGAAGGTAACTTGGTGACAGAATACTTTATTAAATCCTCTCCTACAAGTTTTTGAAAAACTGAGTGGACACCCATTTGACAGCTCCACTGGGAGTACTTAACTGAGATACCTTGCCTGTCACTGCAAATTTTGGCTCAGGTGATACAAATTACTGTTGTGGGCATAGTAATGAGGTATTTTTTTACCTTCCCTGCCCCAGCACTTGTTTCAAAAGATGTCAGTGATTTTGCTACTTACTTCAACCTCTCAAATTAGTTACTCAAAGGTAATACATGGTATATCTGTGTGTGGATGGGCTATTTGCAAACTTGAATATTGACTGCACGTATAAATACTGCACCGTTCACAACCAGTACAGAGGCTGAGACATCTGAAGAGGAGTGGAGGAACCTGAAGTCCCATTGAGATTTGTGGTGCCCATTGTGCCTCTGCTTCTCCCTGTGTCTGACTTTTTCTCTCTGTATTTACAGGCAGCTGACTCCAGAGACTCCCTCTCTATGGCGCTCTATTCTCAGTGTTTTTCATGGCTCATTAGCAAGATTAATACGAAGATCAAAGGCAAGGAAAACTTTAAGTCTGTGGGCATCCTGGATATTTTCGGCTTTGAGAACTTTCAGGTCAGGATTTTGTCTTTTTTCAGAGTGGGTTGGTTTTGGAGATATTGGTACGCATAGGAAAGAATTTTGGTTGGTTTGTATCCTGTTTAGGTTAGCATAGGGCATTCTGGAATTTCTCCACTGTCACTTACCCCGGAAGCATCAAGATCTATTTAGCTGCCCATTTCTGCCACCTGTATTCATGTAGGCTGATGTTCAAGATCTGGTTTGTGACACAGATCGTAAGTAGATGTGCTGTGATAGGTAATACTGAATTTTTGACTTGTATACAAACTCAGTGTCCAACTTCTGTGTGCACATTGTTTGTTTACATCTGGTTTGCCTTGTGTTAAGAATCCTGTGTGTAATGCTTCTGACTGCAGCTGATGAGAGATGTATGTTCAACAGCCATATAGTTACTGCCCAGATATATCAGAGAAAGCCCAGTGACCTAACACTTAGGGATTATATTTCTTTCTTCCTAAGAAGAAGAGAAATGTGATTGTCTTTAGCATCCTTTACTACCATTTAGGCCTACTGAATTAACCTTGCATGAGCTACAAAAGCTGTTCTCCTAGTGGACCTTCCCATACTGTCCTCCTCAGGTCCATCTAACCCTTTGCCTCTGTGCTCTCTTGACTTCATTTCAGGCCTGGCATCTTCCCCATTACTGTCATAGATTCCTTTAGAGCCCAGGGACAAGAATGTTAAGTTTTATAATTTTTGTTTCTTCTTACAGGTGAATCGTTTTGAGCAGTTTAACATTAACTATGCAAATGAGAAACTCCAGGAATATTTCAACAAACACATCTTCTCCTTGGAGCAGCTGGAGTACAACAGGTGAAAAACGGGGAAGGGAGCTCTATTGCTTTCTTGGGTGGTAGAATGGAGGGCATCATTCTTCCTTTCTTCTGTCCAGTCCCTACTGCTAAGGCAGAAGAGGCAGCTGGACCTTAGTGCAACTTTGACTGTAGATGTGTCTCTGTAAGCATTGTCCATGTTATTTGCCAGCATAGGTCACTTTTCTCCAAGCAAAAGCTCTCTCCTGTGTAGTATTTAGAAGGTCCGGATTCCCTTCTATCTCAGCTGAATGGGAAGATCTTGGGCTTTAACCCATTAGAACACATGTTCACTGGCCTTATTACTGACTTCAGTAATCATTTACCTAAGGTAGTGGTGGTGTTATGCAGGTGGAATCTTGGTGTGCAGAAAAGAAAGTCCCTAAAGATAGATGGTTAAATATCCAACAGCTCTTTCTGTTCTAGAGATTCCTATGCTGTGAAAAGGGCTCTTTTCCTTAGCAAGATTTAAATCAGTCTGTTTCCTGAGCTTAAAGAGCATGGGATCTTCTGCACAGCTGTTTCTTTTCTGTGGCCTTCATATTGGATTGTGTTTTGTGAAGTACCTGAGATGCTCTAGAGTATTTCTGTTTCTAGAGAAGGCTGCTAGACAAATACTTCAGTTCTTGCTCTGAAACAGAAGCCTTTATGTTTGTGAATGGAGCAATTGAATAGGGTCAGTGAGGGCAAATGAGAGCAGCCTTGTAAAGGGAGACAGTTGAATAGGCGATTCATGAAATTCTAAAGATTACAAAACTGCAAGGCTATTTATGCACTCGCTTCTCAGGCCAGTTTCACCATTGCAGGAAGCTTGTGTTAAGAAAGGTATCATCATGACAAAAGACTTTTTCCTGATGGTTACATAGGAGTTTAAGTTCTGTGGCTGGACTTTGGAAAGAACAAGAGAATCTTATTATTGACTACTCATCAAGTTATTCTAGGGGGATGTGCTCAAAGTGAATCTACCAGTTCTTCTTCCTTAGGTTTAGTAAGTAGCTCCATGTATTTCATCATTCGATTAGGCAGGGGGTCTGTGACAGGAGCCAACTTGATTCATTTGTGATTTGATTTGTTTCAGAAAATTCCACTCCCTTCAATTCTGGAAGGTCTTCTTGCTTTTAGGAGGAATCCAAGAGGTCTTTTTGTAAAAAGTATATGGCCTGCCTCACACCCATTGTTGCAAAAATCTGAAACACTGTGAAACAGTATTTCTTGTCATTAAGTGGATAAGATATCCCGCTGTGGGGGATAGATAGTTCTTTCCATGCTTCAGAAATTATTCCAGTTGGTTGTTTCTAGCTGTTGCCCACAGGTTTATAAATGCTTTGAAGCTCAAAGTATGAAGCCTAGGCTGAAGGGTTTATAGACAACACCTTCACTATCTTCAGAATGTTAGCCTTCACCTGAAAGTTGTTTGTATCAGAATTGTCAGTAAGTAGCTTAACACATAGCCTGTAGTCTTCCTTAGATTCCTGATCAAGAGTTATTCCCAGGCTTCTCTGAATTCTGAAAACAGAAGCAGCCTGTATTATGGAAGTGTATGAAGGTGGTGAGCGGGAGGAAAACATGTTCAGCACAGATTTACAGAATTTCATGGATGATTTTCAAGGCATGGTTATTGCACTGCTGTACCTACATCAGCTCCCATTCTGAAAGAATCAGGGACACCCTGTAGGTCCCCTGCATGTCAGGCCAAAGTTTATCTGTGTCATGCTTCATAACTATCCTTGAAAAGTTGCTTCTGTCTCTTTTCTGGTGGAGCTATGAATCATGGTTCAGTATTCTGGCAGATGTGCTTCAAGCCTGCTTTCCACATTGGTGGGTCAAGCAGTTGACTCTTGAAGCTGTGTAGCAAAATCCATCATCACTGCTTGGGCTGATGGTCATGACTTCTGAAAGCGCAACTGAGAGCAACTACAATTGCTTAGTGCTTGGTGCGGAAATTGCTCAGTGACTACAAGCATCAGTCCAAATCACTGATATGGATAAGAAGGGCTGTCTCCTACTTCCATCTCCTTGTGTTACCAGTGCGTTGTGTGTCCTATTCTTTTTCCTCATCCATGGCAAAGCCTAATTCCTGCAAATCATCTTGAGTCCTGGGCAGCTGCCATGCTCAGCTACTCCTGTTCTCCTGTTCCTCAGGGCACTGGATCTTGCATTTCACATATTTGTTCTATTTGTTCTTGACTGTCAGGGAAGGGATAAACTGGGAAGCCATTGACTGGATGGATAATGCAGAATGCCTGGACCTTATCGAGAAGGTAAGCACTTATTTGTGACTTTTCCTGAGTTTCCAGGGATCACAGGGGAGGGTCTTCTGATTGTCTTGTGACCTTCCCTGGGATTTTCTGGTCTTAAAAACAGGTAGTTGCCTAGATTCTCTTGCCATCATGACCTGGCAAAAGTATGAGCTGTTATAGCCATAGTCCTAGCTCATAAAGCTGATCTCTGCTCATTGTTGAGAGTAAGCTTAGGGACGGTGTCATAGTTTTAGATAGTGTTTAAGTAAAACCGTAATGTGAAGTTTCTATAAATAATCTCAATTTATATTCTGCTTGCTGAATGCATTGACTGGCCAGACCTCTGCTTTCAGCTCAAGCTTTGCGGGGTATAACTCGGAGGTTATTGTTCAACGTACTCCAGTACAGATCTCCAGTTCTTGGTTTAGTACTGTGTAGTTAGAGCTTTTGCTGACTGTAAAAGCCTGTCTCTTGTTTGTCTGTAGAAACTGGGTCTACTGGCTTTGGTGAATGAAGAGAGTCGATTCCCCAAAGGCACAGACAACACCCTTCTGGAAAAACTTCACAGCCAGCATATGGTAAGTAAGAAAATAACCTGGCAGGCAAATGATCAGTATGTTAGTCCCATTAGCATTTCAAAACCAAAAGTGAAGGTTTTGTTGATGTAAAATATGTGCTTTGTGCAGAAAATTTAAAATGCCTTAGGCCCAAACCTATGAGTATTTAGTATGACTGGACTGAACAAAAGTACTATGTGAAGAAACCTGAAAATGGTCTCCTGTGCACACAGAGAGACAGAGTGTGCATTCTGCAGCCTCTGGGTAGAGGAGATTTGAATTTGTAGCATGGGACGGGGGTCAGACTCTGCTGGTCCGCGACGGGACACGAGGCAGCACCCCAGGCACAGGATGTGGCTGCACAGCGTGCATGGCTTTCTCCTGCCGGCTGACTCACAGGAGTCTGGCTCCAGAGCATGTCAAATCTCTGTCTCCTGGGGCTGGGGACAGCTTTTGCCTCATGACTTTTAATGAAAGCTCTCTTATTGTTCCTAATTAATTAAATTTTTCCTCCTCTTTTTTGTATGCTGGACACAGGAGTAGAAGGGCTTTTTCATGCAGGTCAGAAAGTTATCCTGCAGACACAAAACCCACAGTGAGATCACTGTAGCAATCTCTTGCCCTGTCTCTGGCACAGCCAACACTCTGTTCTTCTTAATAGTAAATAGACTGAAAACAAAGCAAATTAAACCCTGTAGCAGGGACTGATGGTATAATTTACTACTTTAGTAAGAACATTGTCAGCTAATATGTTTCTTAACTCATCCAGGCCTGAAAACATACAAATTTATATGCTTTATCTGACTTTTTATTTTAATTGGCATAGATGCAGATATTCTCATTTTTCATATTTGCATCTAACCCTGCTAGTAATACTCATGACTAGAAATTGGACACAATAGCAATGACTTCTAGTTGGCTACTTGCATGTAGTTTTGTGGAAATGTTTCCTTTCTTTAGGCTTAAATTTAGTTTGCTGCAGCTTTCCCTTGTATTACAGATCAAGGTATATGAGAATGCCTGGTTTAGCTTTTTTATTGTTGTTGGTATTTTCTTAACTTTTAATATAGAACTTACGAATATTTTTAATACATTACTTCTTTTGAATTTTCTTTCTGAACTGTCCCAACCTCTTCAGTTTGTCTCCAAATGGAGAAATTCCTCTTTCTTTCTGATGTTTGTCTCTGAATTCCTTTACATCTTTTCTCTATTCTTTTCTGAGATAAATAATCAGACCAGAATGCAGTTCCCTTGGTAAGAAGGTACTTGTGGTTTATTGTAAAGCAGCATGAGATTGTCAGTATTATTTTGCATTTCCTTATGTCCCACAACATTTTGGTTGCTGTTTTTGGTGATTTCTGTGCATTGAGTAGCCTTTTCATTAAGCTGTTCATAGTGTCACCTCTGTCTGCTTTGAGGGAATAGCAGTTAACGTGGAACCCTAGGGAGCTTATGAGAGATGGAAGAGGCTGAGGAGCTGAAATGCAGGGAGAAATGATGAAATAGATAGTGCTCTAGGGTTTGCATTTTTTGAAGGCAAAAGTGGTTTTTGTATTAGTTAAAGTCTCTAGTTCTGGCTGGAAGAGCACTGAAAGGCATCCAGCCAGCATTGCTGGAAAGCCTGAAGGACATTCTAAGAGAACAAACCCTCTTCTCTGTGTTTTCTGTGGATTGCAATAGGCTTAAAGAGGAAAAGCATAGAGCTGGGATTTAAGAGAATATGATCTCTGATACAACTGGGGAGAGGAGCAATAGGGAAGATGGGAGAAAGAACCAGAAGCGTTGTAGGCATGGATGAAATATAAGGGATTAGTAGAAAGGGAAAGGAGATAAAGGTGCCAATCAACATGAGAGAGTCAGTAGCAGCCTTGTTTGGAGTGGAAGAGAAGGAAATTTGTGGCTGGAAAAAGATGACTGTATTGGAGAAAGGGAAGAGCAAAGAAATGGAGTCAATATGAAAAGGAAAAAAGGCAATGGAAAATTTTTAACAGCACTAACGAATTATCAGGGTCAGAAGCCATCCACACAGCACTGCTAAGAGAACTTGAGAATGAAAGAGCTGAATTAGTAATAGTACTGTGCTACATCTTCAAATTTTCTTAGTACCTGTATCTGAGAAGGTGGGAAATTATTTTAATTTTTAGAAAGTATTCTAGGAAATTATAGGCCTGTAATCTTTACTATTGGGTAAATTCACAGCATGTAAATGGTCAGTTACCTCAACAGAGGGAGGCCTGTAAGACTCTGTCTCATACGAGCACTGAGGTGGCAGTTTTCTGATGATTCACAGAGCAAGGCTGGACTAGAGAGGGGCCTTATAAAACTGACTGGGTTACAAAATGAAGATAAAAAGCAGTGTAGATAAATGTAAAATGGTGTGCCTGAAGGAAAATAGTCCCAGTTTCACATTTGAAATGATGGGCCCTGATCTCATTGCTGCTCTTCAAGAACAAGACCCAGACAAATGCTGTCATGGATAGTTCCAGGGAAACATCAGCACAGTGCTCGGTAGCAGTAAATAGCCCAGATCAAGTATTAGAAATTCATAGGAAAGAAACAGAATAAAAGCAGAAAACATTGTTACGGTACTGTATAATCCATGGATCACTGAAGGGACCCTGCAATGTGGAGAAAAGATGATTTAGGGGAGATGGAATGGGTTTAAAAGTCACACATGCACCATAGAAGACAAATGGCACTAATGGGAGCAAGGCTTAAAACCAACCAGCTGTAGTTCCCTGTGCAGTTGGTTGAGAGCGTCCTGCAAAAGAACACTATGGATGCAAGAAGTCTGCATGGGTTCAGTTGTGGAATAGATATGTATTTCAAAGACAAATCCACCTGGGGCTACTAGTTAGGAAGACCCTATGAAGATAATTGGAGTTTGAGAGAGTATTAGGATGAAAGTATCATTTACTTGCCTTGTTCTTATTTTACCCTACATAGCCACTGCTGGAGGCAGAATACTCAGCTGGATGGACTGTTGGTCTCAAGCAGCGTGGTGTTCTTACGTAGTTAACAGTTTTTATAGAACAAAGAAAGGAGGGGGAAAATGGGAGAGCAGAACAGCTAGTAAGAGAACGGAAAAAATTAATATTGAAAAAAGGGAAGAGAGGAGCAAAGAAAGATGAGATACAGAGGAAGACAGGAGATTGTTATATTTCCTTTGACAAAGAAAAGATATGTAGGTGTTCTGCAAAGCTGCCATTTTCCCTGCATCCTGATCCCGTGTCCTGCACCACATGGTTTGTGTGGAGCCCAGTCTCCTCAGGTGTCAGACACGAAAGAATTAACATTTCATCCATGGCATGCCTGCCCAGCCTTGATTCTGCAAGCCCTTGCTCACATGAGGAATGCCTTGAAGGGGCTGGATTTTTCCATCTTATTGGAATAGTATATCTGTAGTGTAGCTGCAGATAGCTGCAGCAGATGTGGCCAGGCTCTGCAACAGCTCAGGTTCTTGCCCATCCCAGCCTTGTCATAGTCATGGCAGAGTTCCTGACTGAGCCTATTTATTCTTACACTGGCACTATAAGAATTTATTTTCTTATATTTCTTTTTCTTTCATTTCAGAGCAACCACTACTATGTGAAGCCTCGGGTAACAGACCATCAGTTTGGCATAAGACATTATGCTGGGGAGGTAGGTGGTGAGATGCTTGGTGTATCTTGGGCTTGAGGTCCTGGATTTTAGATTCCAAAATCAAGAATATCTCTCAGAGCTATGTTCTTCTGCACAGTGGGAGTGTGGTGGGCTTAAAATAGCATATCATTCTCCAGTATTATATTCTCCAGCTTGGACATTTGTTTGAGTTTCTCAAGTAACTTTTGGTTTGCGGGATAAACTCCTCCTTACTTCTGTTATTCATGTTGTCTTTTCTTGGACATTCACAAACAAACAAGACCCATAGTAAATGTCACAAGGGAAGATTTGACTTTCAGGAAGGAGAAAATGCTAAATGCCTGTTGAAAAAAAAAAAAAAAAAAAAAAAAAAAAAA